CATTTAGAACTTGAAAATTTTCTTTTATTTTCTCCATTTTTTCCTTGTTTATTGCATTTAGTTCACACTACTTCTTGTAGGACTTTTCTTGCTGCCATTCAAGGTCATTCTTCTCTTTCCGTAGTCCCTTACTATTTTCTTGTAATTCATTCTTTTCTTCTTCCCATTTTTTATTTTGTTACCCTAACGCAATGCTCTTCTCCAGTTCACTTTTATGTTTTTCCAATTCTTTCTTCTCTTTTTTCAACTTCTTATTTTGTTTTTGCAAGTCCTTATTGTCCTTTTACAAAGCATCTTTCTCTTCAACAATTTTCTCAATTATAAAATTCTTGAAGTGACATATGTTGATAGTATTATTCAACATCTAAGGCCAAAGTTTTGCCCTCATTTTCTAATACACTGCAGGATCTGTTTGGTTTTGAGAGAGCTCTTCTTGTGTTAATTCCTCTTCTGAAGTTTCACATTCTCATTTTTCTTCAGCCGTAAGTGAAGCAAGAAGCCATTCATAGAATGTTTACTACTTCCTTGTCTTGATAGCCGACTCTTCGGGTTGAACTGGTAGTTGAGGAACATATATTGCATTTCTTTGTTGTTCCTTAGCTTGAACTGGCAGCGGAGTGATTGATTTTGCATTTTTTTATTGTCCATATGGGTGAACTGAGATTTGAGGAACTGAGGTGCTTGGAGCCACTTTTTTCACTGCCTCTTCTTGCACTACAAGAACTGATTCTTAAATTGAAGTACTTAAATGCTCTTTTTGCACTGCTACTTCTTGCACTAGAGGAATTGATTCTTCAATTGATGTACTTGGAGCCTCTTTTTGTATTATCTCTTCCATATGGAAATTGATCACATTACTGATCACCGTATCAATTTCAGTTACGTCAATGTCTATGATGTTCACATTTCTTTCTTCATTTTCAGCAGTTGGATAGGCAGAATCATATGCAATATTTTGGTCATATTGGACTTGCTCATTTGGAATTTTGGTGCCAAAGATACTCTAACTATCAACCAATGTTCTAAAAATCTGCCTAGGCGCTACCTAGGCAATTGGTGGTGGAGTCCCTACCCGATTTAGGCTAAGGCGTTCAGGTGAGGCGGGGAGAATTTAGGCGGCCACATAGGCGCTCAAGGCGGTCTAGGCGGCACTAGGCTGTGGCCTAGGCGGCAGTCAAAGCAACTCCCAATCTCGCTGCAAATCTTGTCTCACATTCGCACGATCCACCACCGACAACCCAAATCTTCAAACCAACACTTCTACACCCAACATCAATCGATAAACCCACTGAAATTATAAAAAAGAAAAAAAAAAGAAAAAAAAAATTGAAGAACAAAACTAGAATTCACGACGCCTTAAGTAGATTGAGAAGATGATGGGTTTTGTTGCAGAGAAAAGGGGATCTGCTACAGAGAAGAGAAGAGAGAGAGAGAGTCGAAAGAAAAATGAGGAAAAAAAATGTATAAATGCTAGAGCCACTTTTCCACTAACCAAATGATGGTTGGGAACTTGGGAGTCGGGCCTGGGCCTTGGAGAAAGCTGTGGAGAAGGAATCTAGGTGGTTTAATTAAAAAATCGGCTTTTCTTTCAAGTTAGATCCATTTTGATTTAAAACTAAGCCCACTATTCTTTATAATAAATATTTTTTTATGTATTTTTTTTAATTTACATTTTTTTCTTCTAATTTCTCTATACAAGTATGGTTTTTCTAAGTGTGAATATATGTATATTTATATGTTAATATGTTATATAATAAATTTATTTAAAAAAAATACAAATCCGCCTAGATCGCCTAGGCCCGCCTAGCCGCTAGGCCCCTGCCTGTCACCCAACTAGCACCTAGCGATTTTTAGAACCTTACTATTAACCAGTGTGTCAAGGTGATCTTCATTTTCATTTTGTTCTCCTCCCTCTTCATCCTGATAGTATTCAAAATCAAGAATTAGTATGGATTATTACTTATATAAAGATTTAGTATGCAACATCAATTATGGATTATAATGACAAAGCTTCAGTTTTATGGCATAATAATTATGTAGCATCAGTTATGGATTATAATCACAAAACTTCAGTTTATAGTAGAATAATCATGCAGCATCAGTTATAGGAGGATCAAGAATATGAATCAAATTTTATTATTCATTATTTTAGTTATACAAGAATTAGTATGCAACATTGCTTTTATATTTTTTTTTAGTGTGCATCATTGCTTATATAAGTTTTTAGCATGTATTATTACTTATACAAGAATTAGTATTCAGCATCAGTGAAAAAAAATTAGTATGCAACACCAGTCATATCAGAATTAATATGCAGCACCAGTTATACCAGAATTATTAAGTTGATGACATTTTAATAATTTTTATGGCAAACTTATGATCTTATATAAAATATAAATACAAAATTTAAGCAAAATTAGCTTGTTTTTGGATTTACCATTTTGTCTGCTGGGTTATTGTCTTTATTTTTTAGCTTATCTTGGCTTTGTGTTTTTATCTCTTATGCAACCAATGTCATTTGTATATCTTCATCATCTGTTTGATCATCCCCTTTGTCAAGCACATCTGAAATTGTTCTTTCATCATCATCCTCTTCTTGCTGGTGAACGTCATCCATCTCATCATCAGCATCATCTTTTGCCATTCCATATGATATTGTTCTTTCATCATTTTTTTTCCAGTAACTTGATCATCTTGTGGAGGTTGTGTAGGTTCATGTTCAAGTACCAATTTTTTTGCTGGTTTATCTTTCTTTGCTTTTGCATCCTTCTTGTCTACTTGCTTAGGTCCCACTATGGTATCATCTTTTCAGGATCTTCATCTTCAAGCACCAATTTTTTTGCTACTTTAGCTTTCTTGGCTTTTGGTTCTTTCTTAACTACTTGCTTTTCCTTTTCCTCTTTTTTTGATGCAGATGAAGGATCGACAAAGTCGTCATCATCATTTTCTGAACGTTGTTCAAATGACTCCTCAATTGGTTTTGCATTGTCCATCTGTGAAAGGTTTAAGAGTTATGTTTTTTGGTACCTAGAAAACAACACACAACAGACACATGCAAAATATTTTTTCACACAAAGTACATGTAGAATCATGTTTTACATAAAAGTATATGTAGTATTAGCTTTACCACCAAATTTTCATTTGCTTCTTTATAGATTTTTTCATGCAGAACTACCAAATCCCACTTCACTGCTGTTGGTAAGCATTTCTGCTTTATTTCTGTTGGCTTGATTGGGGTGTGATCACAAAGCCAATAATGTAGACAAAATAAAAGTTAAGAGATTTTGTATATTTTTGTAAAATAAGACAAGAACTGATTTTTTTTATTAGTTTTTGTTTGCTTACCAGTAAAAGCACAACAGTGCCACTGGCGGTTGGTTGTTTGTTTCTTTTCCTCTTCTATGTTCTATCAATTGATTCCATCAAGTATCTTGTTGTTTCCTTAGCCCAATTGTATTGATTTATGTTATTGATAAAGTTACAATTCTTGGCCAAACTCCAAGGGAGTTTCCCTGTTGAGCTTTTAAACAAATTTGTGTTGAGTAAATATAGAATTATAAGGCAGGCTGCATCTTGATTCCCGCTTTTAAAAAAATTTGTGTTGAGTAAATATAGAATTATAAGGCAGGCTGCATCTTGATTCCCTTCTGTTGTCCTAGTATCAAATGCAACTTGAATTGCGTGTGCAATTTCTCTTATACCGATTATTGTCATTTATGAGAAGTATTTATTAACAAATCTGTTTTCTTTCGGCTTTGGAATTCTTGAGTCTCTTGTTGACTGAGGGGCTTCTTTGCCTCGGTTTTGAATTTGAACATCCCTTTTTCAATGTCATACTAGTTCGCTATATGTATGACATCATAGTCTGATTTCTTCATTTGTAATTCACTTTTTACGTAAGCTTTCATAAGTGTGCCAAAAGGTGACTTATATATGAATGCCAAGACTTCTCGTTTTTCATTAAGTTTTGGCTTGAGCTTTTGTAATAGTTCTGCAAAGGCCATGAGATTCAGTCTTATTTGAACATAGTTATCATATGTCGCTCGACGCTTTATGGCGTGAGGTTTTTGAGGTGATTTCTTTTTGGTTGCAAAATGTTTTACTTTTGGCAACATTTTCATAAAAAAAAATGAAACGATCATGAGTATAATAAATAAAAAAAAATAATATGAAATCATATAAATGACAAACTAGATGCAAAGGGCAAATGCTTAACACACAAGCTCGATGCAGCATCACTTAGTGTACAAGTTATATGCAGCATTAATTAGCAAAAGTATAGATGCAACATCAACTAGTAAACAAGGTATATGCATAATTGGTTGTTAACACACAATGTAGATGCATAATTGTTTTTAACACAAGCTTGATGCAGATTCTTTTTTTGCTTTTTCTACAACATATTTATGTGCAGAACCAATTTACAAATAGAAAGTAGAACCGAAATTAATTTACAAAGTGCAACATCAGTACAAAGTATATCATCATTACAAAGTACAACATAAAGCTAGACAATTAATGTTTTTACTTACAAAATTTAGAAGCATATTCATTTTTTTTTATTTCAAATGTTGTTGAAAAATCAGTATACATATAAACTAAAAAAGTATCTTTTGCATGATAGTGTTTGAAATGATAGGTTTGGGGAAGATGAAACCGTCAGTTCGCGGTGATGAATAAGGGGAACCGGTTTGTTTTTATGATTTTTTGTCATGTAGTGGTTAACGTGTCCGTTTATTAATGGTTATAGTCGAGGGGCACGGACCGTAATTTAGTCGGTCCTATTTTTTTGGGTTGGACTTGGGTTTCTGTTATTGAGTTTTTTGTCACTTCTTAAAATGTTTTAAAAGTTATGGAGTTGTTTGAAACATGATATATATTTTTGCCTCTATATATAAAACTTCCATATTAAAACATAAGAACTTTGATAAAAAATTAAAAAAAAACCAAGATTGAAAAAGTAAAATGATAACCTAATTTCTCCTATTAAATATCCACCCAAACAAAACGTGGCTCCGAAGCCTCAAACAAATCCCAGACTCTGAGAAATGATAGAGATGAAAGTATCACCTCTCTAAGATCCATTCCAATCCAAACCAAACAAACAGGAGGAGGAGGAGGACCAAGACTCTCTCTCTCTCACTGATGAGCCAATGGCGCAACAGCAGCTAACCAAGTGCAGCACCTGGCCCACCGCTCCCAATCTCCGTCTTCCCCGCCAAAACCCCCAGCGCTTTGCCTTTCCCAATGCCGGGCACCGGAATCCCAATCAGAAGAGTTTGAATTGGCTGATGCGAGGGTTTGGCGGTGATGCTCCGGCGGTGGCGGTGAAGGCGAGTAATGGCGGGGCAGGGACTGAGCTGTCGGAGACTGCGGTGGTGGTCGACAGGCCGAAACTGCATCGTTTTCAGGTGTCCGATGGGTATCCGAGTCCGTTCGGTGCCACGGCGCGTGATGGCGGGGTTAACTTCGCCGTCTATTCCGGCAATGCGGTTTCCGTCACTCTCTGTTTGATCGCTCTCTCCGATTTAGAGGAGGTAAATCATAAAGTGAACATTTTGTTGCCGATTTCTCGTGCTGCTGTTATATTTTTCTTGTGAGGATTTGCTTTGTCGGTGCCGAAAGCCTGAAAGATTGCTTCTTTTAGTGGCAGTGCACTTTTGTATTAGTTCTACTTAACTGAACTTAAATTGATACTCAGTTGGTTAAGAGCATTTTCCCTTGCATTCGAGGTCCCGAGTTTGAATAGCCCCTCCCCAATTTGATTGTTTATAAAAAGATTGAAACTTGTGGAGTTTATTAACTTGTGCTACGTAAATAATTGATTAACTAATCATTGATATGCATTTGATGTAGGATAAAGTTTCTGAGCAGATTCCGCTTGATCCTTCGACCAACAAGTCCGGAAATGTGTGGCATGTACTTCTCAAGGGAGATTTCAAAGATACTCTTTATGGTTACAAATTTGATGGGAAGTTTTCGCCCGAAGAGGGACACTACTATGACTCTTCTAGAGTTGTATTGGATCCTTATGCAAAGGTTATTAACCTCAATGAGCGGCAACACTTCTTTTATTTATTGTTTCATTGAATTGTGCGGTTTCTTATCCGTATCATAAAATAACGAACATGGTTTGCTTCTATAGATGAGTCATATAATTCATGCATTGGTTTTAATAACTTGTTTTTGGTTTTAAATTTAATGTGCGGGGGGACTCATATTATTTTAATTTTAAATTTGTCTAGGCAGTTATCCGCAGAGGAGAATTCCGCAAGCTAGGTCCTGATGGTAACTGCTGGCCTCAAATGGCTGGAACGGTACCTTCTTTTGATGATCAGGTACTTTATCCACAAATACTGTCGTAATTTGAAATTGGTAACAATTCATCACACCTGCTTTCAGATGTTATCTCTTTGCTTCAGATTTTCCACCTTTTGACTTGGAATTGTTTATTTTTCCTTTGTTCTGTTAGAAGGACTTAATACTTTTGATTTCAGTAGCAAAATAATTTGAATATGATGAGAAGAGAGAAATAAAGTATCTCTTTGATCTCTGTGCTTTCCCTTATTCTTATGTGTCAGTTAAGGTTGCATATGTGAATTTTTATATATCATCATGTAAATTTTATAGTTTAAGTTTAGTTAAAATTTGAATTCAGTTCTTTTGAGTTGGATCTGGCAGTAGATGTTGATCATTTAATTTGGAAAACCTCATGAAAAATTTATGTTTAAGTTTCATAGAATTCAATTGGATGTCTAATTGGGGAAGGGCTAATGGATTGTGTATTAAATGAATTCCATGACTTTAAAACTTTTGTTCTAAACAAGCAGATTCATTGGAAGTTAAATACACTGATGAATTCATCTCAATTTAAATGAATTCTTGGTCTCTTCTCAAATATAGGGTAATTTAAATATATGGGGGAGCCTCTATGCCTGCCCTGTCATAGGCCTCAGATGCCTGAAAATATTCTGATCAAGTTGCATTTTCCAGTTTTTCTTGGTTGGGGGTGGGATGAGGAGATTATAATTTAGATTATATTTGCATTCTTAGATGTAAAAAAAGAGAAAACCCTAACTTTCCCTTTTCAAAGCTTGTAGTTTTCAGGTAAAAGTTACAAATTTGGTATCATTCCCATGATTATTAAAAAAATTTTGTTTTTCCTTAGATGAACCTATAGCTGGCCTCTTATTTTTAGTTTCTCTAATCTTTTCATCGCAATATTTAAATAACAATGCCAAAATAAACCTGTAACTTCTATTTTCCACTCTCATGGAAATCTTTTTAGGAAAGTCAGTTCAACAGAATTAATTGTAAACAACACTAAATTTGCGATAATATTTTGAATTTGTTTTCTATGATCCGGAATATTTTCCAACACTGGTTCTTCCCTTTGATTTCAGTTTGACTGGGAAGGAGATTTACCACTGAAGTATCCACAAAAAGACCTTATCATATATGAAATGCATGTACGTGGGTTCACAAGGCATGAATCAAGTGCGACTGAGTTTCCCGGTACATACCTTGGTTTGGTGGACAAGCTTGATCATTTAAAGGTCAGTTCACAGAAATTTTAGGAAAATTCTGAAAAATGCTTCCTAGGGAAGTTTATTTCACTATGTAGGGTGGTATATATTTTTATTTCTATTATATTGTAATTTGTAAACAATCTAGTGTTGTGAGCATGTATGGTGCATTGGAAGCCCATTGGACATATGACGACCGCAGTTAGGAACTTTGGTCATGTTGAAGCCAATGCCTTTTTGTTGGCACGTATTAACCTAACTTTGATTAGAGCTGAGATTGGGCAATGCGAAAATGATCAGAAGTTCCGAACTTTTCTCTGTCCCTCATGAAAAATATGCCATTGTTAATTACTAATATAAGGTTGTCTTATTTGGAGCATATGACTAGTATTCACTTTCCCACAAGCCATCAACCAAACAAAAGGGTTCCACTTTTATGTTTTAGTTGGGAAACAAAATGTTTTTATTTGAACATACTAGAACAAAATGACATGATAGTATCTCTTTAATGACTTTGTAGTGCATTCCCAAATAAAGAAGAATCATCATTTCATTTATATAAAAGATAAGAGGAATAATCTTTCTTTAATCACGTAAATGTTGTTTTAATTGTTTATCTACTACATAAGTGTTTAGCATGACAATCATAAAATAATGTGATCATACATGTTAGTGTGTTCTTACTAGGTTTTCTTTGTTTTGCAGGAGCTCGGGATCAACTGTTTAGAGTTAATGCCATGTCATGAGTTCAATGAATTGGAGTACTTCAGCTACAATTCTGTCTTGGGTGACTATAAGTACAATACTTCTTTCTTCTATGCACATTGTATTTTGAAATTGTTTAAGAATGGGAACAACAAACAAACTCCAGAAATGCAAGAAAGTAAGCCAGAATATAAAAAATACTAAGAATGAACACGGTTCAGATATGTGCTTACGTAATCATGGCACCAAAGAAAAAATCCCAACTATATAAATAATGGGTACAACAAAATTTATCATCAAGCCTCTAGGTTGAAGGCTTGATGAACAAAAAGAAAGAACAGGAAAACAAAAGAACACTCTCATCTCATTTCTTCTCTTTCACACACCTTGCCTTTCAATATTCTCTCACTCTAACTCCTGAGGTGGTATTCTGAACATTGTTCTCTTGCTTACTGATAAAGGTAAATGGGTGCGGTGACTCTTTTTATATAGCTGTGGTAATGGCTTCATCAATTAGGAAATCTAATCCATTAGAGTCTACTCCATTTGGGATCTAATCCATTAGGAAATCTACTCCATGTGGGAATAGGATTATCCTCATAGATGATTAGTTCTAATGAGTTAAGGAGACTCATCATGGGATGGACAACCCAACACATTGTTTTCTTTAGGTGTATGCAAGATAGCAATCTAGATTGTAACCTGAAACAAATCTTTTAAATAAAAATCTATAAGACGCTAATTCTGGAGTATAATCGACTCATGGATGCTTTTTACTATAAGATTACATGCACCGTCCTGTGAAAAACCTTCACAATGGGGCTGAAATTTTCAACCTTTTTTTTAAGTCTGAAATTTTTAACCTTTGACTTCCTAGAATCCTGAGGAAAAGATTTTGGTTCCTTCAGCCATATATTTTGTAAAAATCAATTTTTATTTTTCTTCAGGGTAAATTTTTGGGGATACTCGACTGTCAATTACTTTTCACCAATGATAAGATATTCATCTGCTGGCATACGTAATTGTGGCCGTGATGCAATAAATGAAGTCAAGTTTCTTATTAGAGAAGCACATAAACGTGGAATTGAGGTGATATGCAATAGTAATATTATTCAGAATTTTTTATGTGATATTTTGTTTGAAGTTTTCTAAAATAGTTCTTTAAAAGTAGGTGATCATGGACGTCGTCTTCAATCACACAGCTGAAGGGAATGAAAATGGTCCCATTTTGTCTTTTAGAGGTGCTGATAATAGTGTCTATTACATGCTTGCGCCTAAGGTATAGCTCTGAAATTAGTAATGTTTTCTGTGTTCTTTGGCTTCATACTCTCTTTGAAAACATTATTTTCCTCAGGTTGGAAATCATATGCTTCTCATATTTATGGTTTTCTCCTTTGCTGAATCTCGTTCAAAACTTTAAATGTTATGGTCCTTGAATCTAGTTGAGGACAATTTTAATGCTTTGAACATGGCGGGTTTATGTGCTATTACTATTTCTGTGGTTCCATGGTAATTGGATCTTTGCTATAATCTTATGTGCTTCTATTGTGTGCTTTGTTTTGCTGAAGAAGAGCATGCTTTTGTATGATGCAAGTAGCTGCTTTCCTCTCAGGGTGAAGTTTCCTAATTCGTAGTGAATTTGGTAGTAGAGCAGCTAGGTTTTGTCCTCTATGTATGTCTATCAAGTATCAACCTTATTCAGCACAAAGGAAAGAAAGTTTACAATCTTTTCAAATTTCTTCGTATTTAATAAAATTTAGTTTATATTTCTTTTATGCAGAATGAAAAACAGCACAAACTGAAGGAAAAAAGAGAGAGACATATTTTCCAAGTTTTTCTTAAGGGAATGATGTGCACCCTACTGCTTGATGTAAATTTGTTTAAAACACAAGTATTTTACCAGTCTCACAGTCTTGTGTTGGACCAATTTGGCACCTCTGTCCATAGTAGCTCGTTTAGTTTTTCATTCCAGAGATTTCTTCTTTCTATGAGTACATTTTTCATGAATTACATAGTTGTTATGTGGTCAATCTGAAATGAAGCAGCAGAACATTATAGTGCTGTTATATTTTGTTTGCCTATGGATATTGATCTTTAAACATATACCTTATATGCGGTATTGAATTGGAAGACCATAACAAGGTCAGGTTTGCGTTGCATGCCCCAGACCTAGAGTCCCATTTGTGTCGTAAACTGAAGAATTCTGTGACATTTTTCTCGTGCCATCTTTTTTGATTTGACGTCTCTTCATTCATACACTGTGAACTCGATCTATTGTCCCTTTTTTTTTTTTAACAGGGAGAGTTCTATAATTATTCGGGATGTGGTAACACATTCAATTGCAACCATCCTGTTGTGCGCCAGTTTATTGTAGACTGCTTGAGGTAGAATTTCCTGACTGTTCAGTCTCAATTTTATCAGATAGAATTTCTTATCATTTGAAATATGCATTGGTGAATTTGATGTGGAACCTATTTATAGCTCCCTGAGATAATCTGCATTGCATAATTACATTTTGAGCTCTGAGATCTAAAGTTGTGTAATAGTCATGGAATAGTGTCATTCCATAACCTAAGTGTGCTTCTGAATCATGTCATTGTCTCTATATGACAATCTCCCTCTGTAATTAATAATTATTATGGAAAGGAACTAGCAAATTGCTGTTCTTATAAGCTCAGTTATTCCATGTTTCTGAAAGAGAAAAAATTTGTTCATAGTTGAAAACTCATATGCTAGTTGGCTATATATTCCTTTTACATTTTATAAGTGCTTTGATAAGATATTGGGCACCAGGTCAGTGTGATGTCTTGCCACTTCTATATCTGAATGAATCTTGCCAACTTTTTTTCTTCTGGTTGTTTGTTTTCTATCTTCACTTCTATCATTTTTCTGAAAAACTGCAACTCTGTCCTTTGGTTTTTTTTTTTTTTATCACTTTTTGATAATTTTGGTATCATATCTATGATCATCCTCTCCTACTTCTTTACTCCAAATGGTAGAAAGGTCATTTTTTTGCTTTTCTGTGCAACAGATATTGGGTAACAGAGATGCATGTGGATGGGTTCCGCTTTGATCTTGCTTCTATTATGACTAGGGGTAGCAGGTTTTCTGCCAGATGCTCTGTTCTGAATCAGTTTATACTGGACACTGGTGTTCATTTCAGTCCTTTTATCTTTGCTTCTTTGTCCACAGTCTCTGGGATGCAATTAATGTATATGGGAGTGCAATAGAAGGTGACTTGTTGACAACGGGAACCCCTCTTGCTACCCCACCATTGGTTGACATGATAAGTAATGACCCAATACTTCATGGAGTGAAGGTTCTTACGTTAAACCTGTCTTAAATATAAATACACATTTGCTATCAGTATTTCTAAGATTTCCAAGGGTCGTCATTTGAAAATGATTTAGCCTCTTTGATACTTTAAAATTTCGTGCTGAGAAAAAATTAGACATCTCCAACTGCATCAACATCCCTATTTCTACATTCTAGAACATAGAAACTCCAAATACAGTTGGGTTTTTAGGGGTGACCCGCTATTAGAATCAACGCCTTGGAAGATATATGAGACGTAACTCACCTTGGTCAAGTTTTCAGAAACCCATTTAGTTCATTCTGTTCTTAATCAGTTTGGAATGGTTATTTCATCAAGTTTATCTCTCCATGCCATGAGTTGTCAATTTAACAGTAAATTTAAAAGGGCTACACTTAGTTTTGTTCTTATTAATCATCAATCTGCCATAAAATAGTTAATAGACATTTATAAGTCAAGTGTAAGTTTTCTTCTTCTCTTAGAAAAGGGACTAGCCAAACATGGCCACGCCATAGCAAGGTGCTGCTTTAAAATTATATAACATATCTTACATTACCTTTGTGCTTCCTGGAGTATCCCTTTTCCTTTGTTTTACTGAAGTTGTTTTGAATTTTCCGTAATAATTCCTTGTCATTTTTGTATTCTTGTTTCTAGAATTTTCTTGAGCTATTGTGATCCGCACAAAAATTTAGCTTAGTGGTTTCCATGAGTTGATCCTGCATATGAATTTAAATTTTGTTAGTTTCTCCAGCTTATTGGAAATTACTATTACTAGTGTGCTACTATAAAGGTTAAGTGACCAGGCTTTCTTTGCCTATTTTTTGGTTCCCAAACAGCTTATAGCTGAAGCATGGGATGCAGGAGGCCTGTACCAAGTTGGCATGTTTCCTCACTGGGGTAATTGGTCAGAATGGAATGGGAAGGTGTGTTAATACATTATACTGTTACAGTCATCATTTCAATTAACCCAAAGTGACCGAGATAAAGAACATTATAACAGAATCAAAAACATCCACTTGTTCTTCAGGTAAGAAGGTCCTAATAGACCTGATCTTCTTTTCCACACTTTCATCATAACTATGTCTTATTATTCTATTATTTGGGCACTGGCATCTCATACTTTTGGCCAGTTGATGTCTCACTAAAGTCTAACCAACATTACAAGTGCATTAATGTGTTCGAGACAGAAACATTTGGCTTTACTTAAAAACCTTTTTTGTTGTCTGGTGTTATAACTCATGACCTTATTCTCCAGCATCTTTGAGTCCTGAAACCTGCTGATAGGACTGTGGTCTATTTTATAGATTAGTCATAAAGCCAGTTATGCAATGATATTGTTTGACCTTGATATTTTAGTTTGATACAATTTGTAAATTCCTGTAACTTTCAGTATCGTGACACAGTGCGGCAGTTTATCAAGGGTACAGATGGCTTTTCTGGGGCTTTGGCTGAATGCCTTTGTGGGAGCCCCAACTTATATCAGGTAATTCAAGTTTTTCCTGTCTCTTTTGACAATGACTAATAAACCTTCTTTGAGAATCCTATCCTGGTATGTTGAACATTGTGTAGGCACCTCTCTCTCTCTCTCTCTCTCTCTCTCTCTCTCTCTCTCTCTCTATGACACATTATTTCTTTGGACCAGGAAGGGGGGAGGCCATGGAGTAGTGTCAATTTTGTTTGTGCACACGATGGTTTTACTTTAGCTGATTTAGTAACCTATAACAACAAACATAACCTGGCAAATGGAGAAGACAACAATGACGGAGAGAGTCATAATAATAGCTGGAACTGTGGACAGGTGAATATTGATAAATATATATTCTGTGATGGTTGGATTTAACCTTTGTTTGATGCTGATGGCAGTCTCTGTGATAAGGTTACCACAGCTGTAATCCTTATGATCAGGCATGCTAAACTCTTAAGGTCTAAAATGTCTCATCTGGCTCTATGATGACATATATCCTGCACTTGTCTTAATAGTTTTCTTTCCACTCATATTCTACCTCCTTTTCTCTTACTTTTTTATTTTCTCGTTTATCCTTTAGGTGGCGAATCGATTATTCTTGCTTTTAGAAGGTTGATTACCCCTAAAAAGGGAAAGATGTTTATCATGTGTTTATGGGACATAAACTTCACATCACATCTGTGGTGTTTTTTTCTGTCTTATCCCATTGAACAATTAAAGGGGTTATCTTAAAAACTAGACCCTTGGCCAGCCCTACAGGAAATGGATACCTTTTGTGCATGTATCTTAGATTTGTACTTCATGGTTGTGTTACTACGCGTTTAGACACTAGTTGTCATTCTGTTGGGCTTTTCACATATAAGCCTCTCATAACATCACAATCTAGAGAAAAACACTACAAACCTTATTATTTAGCAATGTTTTAGAAGGCTCACCTCAGGGCGCGCCTAGGCGTCCTCTGAGGCTGGGCGTAAGGGTTGCCGCCTCTGTTTTGAGGGAGTGGGTGGAATGCATCGCCGGAGCCGCCTAGGCACGCCTTAGGGCTTCTTTTTTTTTTTTTTTTTATAATTTTTATAATTTTTAATTTTAATTTTTAATTTTTAATTTTTTCTCCCAAACCCAAATTTTGGGTAGGGTTTTAATTGTCTTATACCTCTTCCTTGCACTATCGTCTCTCTGCCTTTTTTTTCTGATTTTTATTTTTTTATATAATGGATGTGTGTGCTATCTGCGTGCATTGTTATATGTGTGCTCATTGTGCTTTTCATCCTCTATTATATATATATATATATATAAATGTATGTATGTATGTATGTATATATATATATAATATAATATAATATAATATATGTATATATATGTGTGTGCTCAGGGTGATTATTGATTAATAATCTTCTTCTTTTTTAATATAATATATGTGTACGCTCAGTGTATATAACTATATATTAAAAAAATTTAGGTCCTGTGAGGCTTCGCCTCACACCTCACGCCTAGGCCGGGCTATCCCTCGGACGCCTCGCCCACGCCTCACGCTTTTAATCTGTTGTTATTTAGAGAAAAACCTTACTTACTTTGTAACACCAATGGATAGATGAGGGCTTTTTCTCGGATTGAGCTCTTGAAGTGTTTTTGTTATAAATTTTAATGGTGGGGGGGTGTTTTTTCCAATTTACTATTATTTAGGAGGGAGAGTTTGCAAGCATTTCAGTGAAGAAATTGAGGAAGCGACAAATGCGGAATTTTTTTGTCTGCCTCATGGTCTCCCAAGTAAGATGCTGTTCTTATTACTATTTTATTGAAACGAGGTTCAGTAATAGTTCATTTTATACTATGACTCTTAATTAGGACTACTATGACTCTTCCTTATTATAGCATGTGTGTTGGCCTTGATTTCTTGTAAAGCGAGTCTGAGTTTTATTTTTTATTATATCTTTTAGTTTCTTAAAGATTTCTGGACAACATTTTCAATTAACTGGGAAGGGTCATGTGCATCCATGAAGTTCATGGACACCAAAATAGTAGGGCATGATAATTGGTGTGTTTTCAGTGCAAGGAAATAAAGGAGAAATAGAAATTAGTGCTATACAGCTAACTTGGTTTTCTATTGAATGGTGTTGATCTTTACTTTCGTACGACCCTACCAGTATCGAATGGATCCTGCTGAATTCTCATTCTAAAAATAAAAGAAGAGCCTGAATTTGTACATTAACTTGATTTTGCATCTTGTAGTTTTTGGAGCAGAATTGTATATTGCCCTGCAGATATTCTTTAAATGCAGGCACTTTCTAGGTAGATTGTGCTGAGGATGTCGCATACTTTTTTGTCTGCTTACTGACTACATTAATTCAATTTTTACTTCTATTTATCAGGGTGTCCCAATGCTGTGTATGGGTGATGAATATGGCCATACAAAGGGAGGAAACAACAACACATATTGCCATGACAATTATGTATTTTTCTACTCCTTGTCAACACTCTTTCTGTCATACCCTATTTTTATTTTATTTTATTCATTTTTTTATGGTTGTTTCTGTGCTGTAGATTAATTACTTTCGATGGGATAAGAAAGAAGAGTCCTCATCAGACTTTTTCAGATTTTGCTGCCTCATGACCAAATTCCGCCAGTATGTATCTACATTATTGGTTGGAGGTAATTATACTTTGCTTTCTGATTGATGTCTTGTATCTCCTCACTGCGAATTATGCAGGGAATGCGAGTCACTTGGGTTAAATGACTTCCCAACGGCAGAGAGGCTGCAGTGGCATGGTCATGCTCCAGGGGTGCCAGACTGGTCTGACACAAGCCGCTTTGTTGCCTTTACTTTGGTATTAACCACCCTGACTAATGCAGTTTAAAATCAAATTTTAATTCTCGTACCTTGTTTATTGAAATGGGGATAAGTGGAAGATTTCCATGTTCCAACTTTCAGTGGCCTTATGCCCTTGTGTTACATAAAAGTCTCAACTTGCAAGGAAGTACCCCATCAGACATATCATGTAACTGGTTTATCCTGGGTTCTTCTGAATGCTCCCATTGTCAAATACATACCAAATACTCTTCCAAGTGGTCTGCCTGTTTTCCAACATGTAGAAATCAAGGCTTGAGCCCCAAAAGGAGCCTTGGCACACGTTTTTGTAGGTCTCTAGATTAAGGAGCCATCGACCTTGATCACATAGGGCGTTTGACCACGAGTGCGTTCCCTTATAATTTGGAGACCAACTTTATTGATCTTTAGAATAGACTCAAACCTAAAGGAGAATACCTGTGTTTGTATGATACAAGTGTACTGATGCTTGTGTAAAAGTATGAACAGGTCAGACCAGGGTTAGAAGAATTGCAATGAAAAAGTTTGTATAGAAATAAAAAAAAGTAACAAAAGTGCAACGATAAGTTATTTTTTAGAATTTTATCATAGTTTTTTTCATGTATTTGTGCCGGACCACACCCAATTTGCAGGTTGGATATATAGTGGCAATCTAATAAATCAATAATCCTCAACTTATGTCTTCATTAGATGGCCATAGATATATAGCTTGGCAGATAAGATGAATTCTTGTTTGAATGTATGGTCAAGGTTGACAGTCTAAGAACACTTTTGCATAGGCTGGATGACAAAAAGTGTTTGTCCTAGCATGCACACCTCTCAGAAAGTGCCACCTTTAGCAGCATCGTAGGAGTAACCAATTTTCTGTTATTGTTGGGGTTAATAGTTTCTCTTTTGTATCTTATTGGGTTGTTTTAATTGTCAATGTCTGCTACTACCTGGTCCGTGACTCTTAAGTGTGAATCCAGGTGGACTCCGTGAAGAGAGAGCTGTATATTGCTTTCAATGCCAGCCACTTAGCCGTGACCATTTCTCTGCCAGAGAGGCCTGGATACAGATGGGAGCCCTTGGTCGACACCAGCAAGTGCACACCATTTGACTTCCTTTCTAGTGACATCCCAGAAAGAGATACCGCAGTTAAGCAGTATGCTCACTTTCTCGACGCCAATTTATATCCCATGCTAAGTTATTCTTCAATCATCCTATTACTCTCTCCCGTTGAAGATTCTTAGCTTAATAAAAGCATCGGTGCAGAATCCATATGCCTTGCAGATTTTATGATGAGAGCAACTGGTGCATGTTTAAATGCTTGTATTATCAAGTGGGAGTCTGAAACAAATTATAGAAATGCAGCAAATAGTAGAGTTTGCAAGTAGTAGAGATTTAGTGGAAATAGTTTGGAGAGATCATGTTCTGGTTTCTGTGCGACGGCTCAAATATGAAGGGAATGTGTACTGTTTTTACGTTATTCCTGTCGAATATGTTTGCCTTGTGAATAAAGTTATCGGAGAAGTTGGTAATTACTTGGTGTTCGCTATGACTTGCATAACATTTTTGATGAATCGGTATTTTGGGTCATGAGGAACTTGTACTTCACTTTCTTTTTCTTTTGCCGGTGTAGATGATCATATTCTTAAAGCAATTCAAGAAAGGATAAAACAAATTGACAAATAAAAAAGCATAAAAATTAATGAATACTTCCAACGTTGAAAAAGGTTATCCCATCGTCATTTTTTTCTCCCTTGACGAAAACCGGGAAAGCAAAAATAGAAAAAGAGAGATATCTTTGCAATTTGCAATTTTTCAGTGTATACGAATCACTTTTAGTGTCAAATCTTGTTAAGGCTTAGTCTGACGTTGTTGTGTTGTGAAAATAATCATTGTTGATAGTAGTGTGAGATTATATGTTGCGAGAAAAAAAAAAGGCGATTTGTAAACTGTATTTGTTTTTTATTTTATTTTTAAAAACGATAGTATCTATATTAAGGGAGTGGTGGAGTGGGTTAAGTGTTATAATGGACTGCTTACCATAATAATATGGTTCAACTCGCTTTTAGCAAAAATTGAACCTAATACTTCTCAATTACAAGTGAAAAAAAATATCATTAGACGGTCAGATTTTAGTAGTAAGTAAACTAAATTCATTGAACGTTTCCGTCTCTTCCGATTTTGATATGCGCATAAACTGAAGTGAAAGCACCACCCCAACTGCTTTATAAGTTTAGCTTGAAACAACTTTATCACACACACCTTTAACAAACATCGTAGCAATTAAAAAACTTTTGAAAAAGGTTATTCCAAAAAAGTAACCCCAAATTGGCACTAAGTTTTGACTGTCTGAGGTGTAGCTTTGGGATTTGCTAAGCCTTTTGAGGTCCAATAATTCTGTTGACTACCTCATTTGTTGAGGATGTGAGTGTAAGCTTTATTTTCCGTTTACAAGTAAAAAAGAATTTCATTCAATTGAGTTCGTCTAATTTAAATATATTAATATTACAATTACTAGTTAGTAGTTATATTTTTTTTTTTTTTTAATTACCATTGTCTTTATGATTCAATTCTTAAATAAAAAAAAATGCTTTAAAATGTTTTTGTTTATTGATTGCATTTTGATTTTCATCCAATCTTTCGAGAAACAATGGAGAACCAAACAAAATTTGTAATAGTTGAATTAGAATTTCGACAACCAACATTTCTTTTTGAGCCAAGCGGTAGCATTAGTAAGTTAGATGTTAGTTAGACATCGATAAAATTTGAACTTACGCCGTCATGCATGGGCACAACACCTTTTTACTACTGTGATAAAGAGTCACTTGCTTCATCAACCAACATTTAGTCAACCTTATTACTAATTTTGGATGAGAATTCTAAGTAGCAGCATAATATACGATAAACAAATAGGATATAAGATTCTCAAATATCATCGCAAAGAGAATTCGGATGGGAATCCAAATCCCTAATTTTCCAGTTCTAATAATTGTTATTTACCATGGCCCATGGGCCACACTACAGGTGCCCATAACTAGCCAATGAAATCCAGACACCCCATGGATTCACTTTTCAATTTTGTCTTCTGGAGAAATCTAGACATCCGCAGAAACCTACCCCTCTCTCTCTCTCTATCTCTCTCTTTTTTACAGGTACTGCAAATTGACTCTTCAATGGAGTCTTAAAGTTCCAGACTTTCAGGTTGTCTCTGCAAATCAAATCCAAAATTCCAATCAAATCCTCAACAATCACACAGTTCAACAATAACCCAAATCTCCATTTCTGCAGAATCAGAAGCAGAGTGGCAGAAATCTCTCACATGGAGGACTACTTTGTCTCAGACGGAATGCTGATGAAAACGATGAAGAAAAAGAGGAAGGAGGTGGAGGAGCTTGACCAAGTCAACGAAGACTTGTCCGACTTCTCTCTTTCTTCTCCCGCCAGAAAGATTCGCCGCCTGGTATGTAAAAACCCCATCTTTTTGTTTGCTTTCTTCACTTCAATTTTCGACCCAATTCTGTTGAATGTTTCAAATTTTCTGACTCAATGTGTTGTATGTGTGAAAATTTGGTAACTTAGGATGCTCATTTGCCGCCGATAATGGAGGAGGAGGAGGCGGAGTTTGCGGTGGCTCCGAATCAGGTGAAATTAGATGCTCCAGTTATGGAGGAGTTGCCGTCAGAAAACCATGAGAAGGCCATTGTGCTCTTCAAGCCTGTCAGTTGCCCTCCCGTCTTCTCTCTTCGTTCCGATTTGATTTCCGGCTTCAAGGGTACGCATTTCAACTACCCATTTGGATTTCCTGACGATTTCTGTCTCAAAATTTCGGAAATTTGATGTTGTGGGTTTTCTCCAGACCAATTTCTGCGCTCCAGCCATTATAATCTGAGACAATCAGCTGAGGAAGATGACGAGACGGTGCAATACAACGCGAATCGATGTAAAGCTGTTGTTCCATGGGTTCCAAGCCAGCTTCCGCCTGTGCCATCAATGGAGGTTTTGCAGCAATCTGTGGCCCCGGGAGAGCTGATGGAGGCTGAAGGGATGGGAACAGCAACAATGGAGATTGAAGAGGAGAGCACAGAAGGACAAGGCATGGCTAACATGTATGGCGGCGGTATGTGGACGAGTAATGAAGGGTTTCCTGAGTGGCAGCAGCAGCAGCATTGTATGATCCCACAGCCTCCACAAAACACCACCACACCTATCACTTGGTTCCGATGAAGACCGGAAGGCGTTGGGGTTTTTCTGGTTGGAATTCGGGTAGTGCCTCATTTTTTTGTTTGCAGATTTCGACTAGGTTATATGATATGTATGGTAACAAGGAGGAGAATGTTCCTTGTTTTAGAAAATTTATTGGGAGGTGTTTTGCTGTGTGAGTAAACACCAGAACCAGAAGGTAGTGTTGTAATGTTAATAGCAGAAGAGCAGTGAAGGAAAATGATTTGTATGTTAATTATGGCTTTAATCCATTTCAGCTTATAATCTCAAACAACATGCACATCACTTGAGTTTTAACACAATTTGAATTTGATACAAACAATAACGGGTGGGGGTGAATTCGAACATAAGAACTCGGGTGAAGGCGTGAGCACTCCCTTGTTAGGGGTGGGGTGAATTCGAACATAAGACCTCGGGTGAAGGCGTGAATTCGAACATAAGACCTCGGGTGAAGGCGTGAGCACTCCCTTGTTGGGGGTGGGGTGAATTCGAACATAAGACCTCGGGTGAAGGCGTGAATTCGAACATAAGACCTCGGGTGAAGGCGTGAGCACTCCCTTGTTGGGGGTGGGGTGAATTCGAACATAAGACCTCGGGTGAAGGCGTGAGCATCAGTTTAACTCTCCCTTAATGGAAGATGCACATAATTGCACATCAGTTTAACACAATTTGATATGATTTATAATCGGGTGGGGCGAATTTGAACATAAGACCTTCGGCTGGGTGAAGGAGTGAGAACTCCTTTACGGCGGTGGGAAAAGAATAGTCAATGACTATTTGATCTAGTGACAATCAGTCTTGACGTCTCTAGAAGATGGTTGTAATAAAGAAGAAAGGTAACGCAGATTAACTTTATGAATCAAAACTATGAGAAGAATGGCATAAAAGAGGGGAGTATAAACACCCTAACAAATTTTGGTTACAAATATGCACAGGAGGTTTTGACGAGGTTAATATATTGTTGATTCTCATCTATATTCTGGCAGAGATACATTGAATGGAAAAAAAAAAATGCTCTACATAAAAGTCTGATGACATCATGACGATATAATCTTCCATGTCGTTCCCCTCTATTCTCGTCCTTCTATCAAAATGGCAATCTTCTATGGCCTCCACAACACACGGCTCTTCAATAAGTACCGATCAACTTTACTAGTTAATTCATACGGGCTAGTCTCCTGAGACATACGTCTTCTGTGCATAGTACTTCTTTTCACTCTCCTTCTTTTTGGCATTGCGTCTCTGCATCAAAGACATCAGGGGCACAACTTTATCAGCACTCTCAAGCAGAAATTTTGCACGTGCAGAACATCATACGAGAAAATACCTTCTTTTTATTCTACGAACATCCAACGTGAAACTTATGGTTGCGATGTGTGGAGAGAGGAATTGTTCAAAGAGATGAATATAAACACGACACAGGATTTTATCCAACAAATAATGATGGCCAGTTTACTTGTATAGAAGTTATTAAACATGGTTTTCAATCGACAATGGTACTAGTGCATATAAGCAAAGAGGTAGACAAGGATTTCGGAGGTACCAAGTAAGCATCATGATTTGCAATTATCCTCTGGGATACTGATGATGTTGTTATACTTTTTGGGCTTTCGAGTAATTTGAAAATCCCCATGCTCTTGGGAAGAGAATAAGGATCGCTCTCACCCTGCAAGGTACAAATCACCCCATTCAATAACCCAATTTTCAGCTTGCAGAGAACAAAGTTTACAGTGATCAAATTTAAAGAAAAATCCATCAACTTACAGTAAACGAGGAGTTGTACTCGGAAACTGTCCCATGCACAACTGATGAAATGTTGAAAGTTGTTATCTGTCAATGCAAGAATATAGAACTCAGATACAGTGATTAACACATTTAATCAGACTGCATCATAAGGATTCCACTATTCTGAATAAAGTACAGTGAGTATAAAATGTGGACGAGAAAGGTATAATTTATTGTCCGAACCATTTTTATCTAGAAATAGGTTCAATTTGTTGTCCTTCGAATTGATAAAACTTATTGCCTATAGCATGCTATATCACACACATGCCAGCACGTATTGGTTCCATGGACTCCACCACACATGTAAGGTATGCTTATCTAAAGTAATGAAGACAAGTGGCAAGCATGTCACGAATCTATGCACATTCCCAAACAGCAATAATGTTGGAAATTTTATCGTTCAAGCCAAGGTAGAATCATGATTACTATGACGACACTTACATGTTATAGTCCCATTCAAGGCCATGAAGAAACATCATGAACATGTTGACTGTAGAAACAGTACGCAAATAAAATCATGAACATGTTGATTGAAGAAACATCATGAACATGTTGATTGAAGAAACATCATGAACAAGTTGATTGGTATAAAATGCAATAGGAAGATAAGTTGATTCATTTACTCACCATGTCCAGGGTAACTTCCCAGGGAGCACCAATGATGACTTCATCAACATAACGGCAACCCAATACACTAAGACTACGTTCATGTAAATGCATTATTGGATGCTTCCCTCTGTGTTCACTGCAAGTAGCAAAATTTTATTAGCTTAGTTTTTGGTCTTTTTACATGTTTACCCTTGTTGACTAAAGTAGACAGCAAAATAAACACATTTTTATGTTTAGCTTCCAAATATAAAGATAGTAAGAGAAGGAAACTTCATGGCACCATAATTATACCAATGAATGAATTGATGTCAAATGAAGTGAAAAGGGAATTACCTGACAGTCTCATCATTGTGGATGCCAACTAGTAGAAAGTCTCCGAGCTGCCTAGCCTTCTTCAAGATCTAAACAAGCACCCAAAAAAGAGAAACAGCTTTCATATGATGAAATGATGAGAAAAATATTTGATAACCGTTCATACAGAAAGGGAAGATGCTCTAATCAATCTCCACGGCTAAGAATTGCCAAAAGGAGGGGTGTGAACATCACATGACAACATTCAGTTGTTTACATAGACCATACTGCTTACGTTGGCAGAAGGTCAAGCCTTAACCCAAGGCTTCAATGGGTAGCCTTACAACTAATGATTAGCAGAGAACTGTCACAACTGACAACGGCATTTTGTATATTAATGCAGTGGTGGGATCCATTTCTCTCTTAAAGTAATGGAACTAATGCATATACCAGACTTAAAATACAGATGAGTCATGCTAAAGTGCATTATGGCAAAACGCCATCATGAAGGCTATTTAGAAATTGCTCCAAGCTTTTATTGAAGTTAGAGAACATCTAGGATGAGGTAGAAAAATGCCATTTCAAGATGCACCTCAGACTTTGAAACTTGATATCAAATAGGCAAATGCACTACAAAGATCCAACTTAACACAAAGATATAATTATACCTCAACATGTCCTGCATGAAAGAGATCAAATGCCCCATCAATGTACACAACACGAGCATTTGGTCCAGGTCCCTGAGAATATAGATGGTGTTATCATGGAGGATCAGAAAATAAATTATGCATTAAAAAGAAACAAAAAACTAAATTTCCACTACCGCCCCATTTTATCTCTATGGTTTGAAATAAATATGAAAAGATATGAAGCCTCAAATACCAGGCTACTGTGCAAAATGGTTTACTGTGTTACTCACACACAGATCAATTGGCCAATGCTTTGCTCTTTAAATTAAATAGTAAATAATCAATCAAGGATTGTGTTACCACATAATTGGGAAGGTTTTTCATTTACTGGTCTTTTCTCTTCATGATTTTATACATTGTAAAAGTTTTGACAAGTTAGAGTAGGAAGTGGCTTCATCAGAGTCATGTATGGTACCCATGGTGACTTCTTGGTCTTGATATGTACCAAAAAGTGGTCTGTGTGTTCATTTCCAATTGTATTTATTCTCGCATCTCACTAGATGCACTAGATCCTAAAGAGAGCTCAGTCTGTAGTGTATGAAATACTAATAACTTATAATAAAAATAAATGAAAAAGTTCAAGTTAAAACTGCCAAGATAGTAAGTGACACCCACCTTTCCATTAGAGAATTGCACAATACGTCGGGATGTTGGCAGAAATTGAGATAAATGGGTACTCTTGGGTTGACTTTCTGGGGATTTTTGCAAGGAAGTACCATTTTGATCTTTACCATCTGTCTCCTTTAGAGAAGCAAGTATCCTCCCTACATATGATTACTATTAGACTGATTGAAAATAAGAAAATGTTTTCAATATGCAACAGTTTATCCATCTAGGCAGATCATTCATCAAATCTCTTCACTTCTAGATTGCTTGACCACAAGAAGTCACAAGTGGATTTGAAAAATAAGTACTGGGGTCATTTTAAACAAAAGGAGAAACCTCTGAGGGAGATGAAGAGAATCATAGTACCTACAATATCTGTGCTGGAGACACCTTCAGTGCGTTTAATTTGCTTGTAGCGACTAGCTTTTTTTGCCAAGGCGTAAGCATCAGTTCCATCTGGCAGCAGGCAAGGGTCATCACCATGTATGATATAGTCAATCTTATGCTCGTTGAAGAGTCTGCCCATGAATTGCTCAGTAATTTCATAAGGAGCATTGGGTATGACTTCATCCACCCACTTCAAACCACTTACGAGAGCCAGTCTGGAAAGAAACTTCAAATTAGACAGAAATAAGTAGTTACATAATGTATATAGATAATACATCGATCTTAGGCCCCAGGAGATTATACAACAGAACAGTTACAAGAATTTCTCTCTGAACAATAAAGGTATGGGTGGACCAAACAGCGTATTCTAATTCCAATGATTGCTGAACAACTATTATTACGAAATCTGAAGTCGCAAACTCTGTGGATAAAGTACTTGTATGCATGTAACATATTCTGTAACTTGAGTTGGTGGCTAAGTAACAAAAGTTACAACTTGAACTCACATAGGAATGTTTTCGGCATTCCAACATAAATGTGTGTTCTTGAGAAATGAGCATGTTAACGTGCTCATTTCTAATTCCATAGGAATGTTTTCGGCATTCCAACATAAATGCGTGTTCTTGAGAAATGAGCAAGTTAATGTGCATATTTATGCGCATAAACACTAACCTCTCTTCCATGGATAAAACAGGTGGACCTTTATTGGCAATAATCTCCTCGTCGCTAACTACGCCCACCACCAACTCATCTCCCAAAGCCTTGGCTTGCCTCAAGGCATTCGCATGACCATAATGCATGAGATCAAAGCAACCATCCATGTAAACCCGAATGCGCTTCTTATCACATTTCTTCTTGTGGAAGATCCCAGATTCAGACCATAAATAAGGCAACTGGGGAACTGTAATTCCACCAAAATAGCTCGTGGACAAGCCAAGCAAGGCGGCTGTCAGCATTAGACCGCCAAATACATGTGGGTGGTTGTACATTCCATCCCAAATCCAGTTGTTAGTTTCATATTCCATAGTGCCACCCTTTTTCTTCTGCCTTATATTCTCCTCTGATCTCTCTGCTTAGTAGGAGGAGACACAAAACCTGAATCCACAATACACAAAGCTATTCAGTAAACAACATTAGTCTTCTTCTTTAAATTAGATTTAAAGATCACACGAACACAAAAAAAAACCATGAAAATACTAAACAAATCTAGAGCTTGAAAATACCAAATTACACCAAAATGTAAGGAAAAAAAATCAGATGTTAAGAGAGAATTTTGGGCGTGGATTAATTGTCAATTGTGAAGAGATGCAAATTCTAAGCCCATGGAGAAATTAATGATGCCAAAGATTCAAGAGAATTATTGAACAAATTCAAATTACAAAATTTATTTCTGAATCTAAACCAAAAACCCACCTGAAATTCACCAAGAATTAAAAGAAAAAAAAATTGGGAATAGCTGTGCATTAATGGAGAAACGAAAAATCGGAAGAAAGCCATGGAAATGACAATTCCAGAAAAAAACAAATGGAAAAATATAAGAAATGAGCATTAATCATGGTGACCCAGATCTAGAAAACTGGTTGTTTTACCAGAAAATTGGAAAAGATTTTACCTTTTGTGTGATTGAGCTTTGTGTCTCCTTTCTTCTTATGCTTTCTCTCCCTCCTGGTTTTTTGGTGGCTTGAAGAAACTGCAATGGGAAAAGAAAGAAAAGAAGACAATTTCCCTTCCCTTCCCTCTCTATCTCGAAATAATAAATCCCAATTTTATATTACTGAATAAATCAAATCAAATGCTTAGCGTGTGGGCCCTGTCCGAGCCCCACCTGGTGCTCCATCGCCTCTTTCGTCCAACCATGTGGACACATGGGACCTAAGTTAGAAGCTTCCTAAGTGAATGGCCACCGTTTTTCGTGCTGCATTTTGTGTTTCTAGATATCTCGAGATTGATATTAATTTAATAGAAAAATTAATTAGAAGGATTTGAAAATTTTGAGTTTTAATAATAAGGATAAAATAAAGAGTAAAATGAATTGTATCAGGATTGATTTTTTAGTGTAAAAATATGATTTTTTTTGTTAAAGTGAACAGTATCGCAGGTTTTTCGTTAAAACTCCCTAATTTAATAGGTTAATCTCGATTTACTACTCTTAAATTTTTTGGTTTTCAACATTTGGTACATCAAGTTTTTTTCATCTCAGAGTGGTACCTGAAGTTAAAATTTTGGGACAGTTTCATACATCTGTTAAGGTTGCTATTAAGTCAACTGTTAACTGGTAACGTGGACACTGACTTGGCACCATGTGTCAATTTGGGCCCACTCTAACTTTAAAAAATTAAATTTTTTTTTGTCACATAAAAAAAACCCTTTTTGTTACTTCGATCCACCCGTCCTTCCCTCCCCAATCCCTTTCTCCCTTCTATCCTCCGCACCCTACCAATCATCTCGAGTTATGGAGCGTTGAGCTAGACGAATCATCGTCTATGCAAAACCTTAGAAAATTACCTTATCTTCTGTCACTGTTATGGGGAAGATGGATCATCGAGCGCGAACAGTAGAAAAATGCAATCGCAATTGAGCCTTCCCCCTCGTCAAATCACCACCGCGAACGTCCAATCAACCGAACCCACCTTTCCTCATCGCCGACGCTGACGGATCTGCAGTCACATTTAAGGGCGAGCTTGGTGACGGCATCAAAGCTAGAGAAAAGGAAATGGATTATGGGTTTTGACCGTGTGGTAGAGGGCGGGCTAATTGGAATGTGGGTTTTGGTCGGCAATCGAAATGGAGCTTGACCCGGGTCTGTACGGGTCCGTTGAAAGACACAGTTGAAGATGGAGGCATTAGAGGGTAAGCCGCAATTGATGAGGTAGTAACCGGAGGGAGTGAAGGAGGTTGAGGTGTGGAGGAGAGAGAGAGAGAGAGGAGGATTAGAGAAAGAAAGTGGAGATCGAGATGGGTTCGTCCTCGTGAAGCTCCCACCCAACTCATGAATGGGCTCTGATTTTTGTATAAAAATCAAAGCTTTAATCTTTTTAGAAATTTTTGGGGGCTTTTAGCACACTGATTAGTGTTGCAGAGGTGTTAGGAGATACAACTTGTGCATGTTTTGGAAGAGGAAGACGAGAACGAAGAAAGGGTGGGGGATGACAACGGAGAGGAAGTGGAAGAAGAGAAGAGCTCAGTGGGTTCGTCAACAATAGCAGTGGTGTTGCCGCTCTTGTCCTCCATGAAGAACAACAGAAGCAAACCTATCCCCCAAGACGGCTGCGATGGGGGAAAAACCCAGAACGTTTCCTTCCAAATCCAAAGTTGTAGTTTCTAGGTTTTTAATTTTTTTAATTCTTTAATAGCCATATGGGCCCAGATTGACACGTGGGGCCAAGTTAGTGTCCACGTGGGTGCTACGTCACCAGTTAATGGTTGACTTAACAGCAACCTTAACGGATGTATGAAAATGTCCCAAAATTTGAACTTTAGGTACCACTCTAGGATGAAAAAAACTTGATGTACCAAATGTTAAAAACCGAAAAACTTGAGAGTAGTAAACTAAGATTACCCCTAATTTAATTTAACACACATGCTGCCTTAACGTTTTTTTTCCTAAATCTCCGCTCAGATTGATATTAATTTATAAAAAGACTAGTCATTGTTAAAGTATCTTTGATCAACTTTTTAATTAGAGAAAATTGGAGCAGTAGTTTTTGAATTTTAATCTTGTTGAAGCATTGGTCCTAAGTACATATGTGACCATTAATTATTGAACTTGTTAAAATGTGGAGTGATTTTTTCCTAAACTTCGTTAAAGCTTTTACCAAAACCAACTGGCATTTCGAAGAGTATCACAATATAATATGCACTTGTAAGGCCTATTCTCCTCCCATTAATGTGAGATTCATTCTCAACACGCCCCTTCACGTATAGCTCCTAATACGCGGACATCACAAATTAGATGACATGAGCACGTGTAGCCGTTGGGCTTTATACATGGGACAAAACTCCATTAAGCTTGGGTTTCATTTTCGTGGGGAACGAGGCAACCATTGGTTATAAATTATGTGAATTTCTAATTTAAGGATATGATTGAATAACTTTACAAATTTTGTTTCCAATTCATACATATATACCAAACATGGTAGAGGAAATAAGATGACATTTATTACTGGCTACTTTCTTATCCAACTTTACTAGTGGATTTTTGCTCACCACCTTCAAGTGGTGGTAATGTTCAATATCTTATTTATCATTGTTAGATTATTTAAATTTTGAAATTTGAGGAAGAATCCCCAATCTTCCTCTCTTTTTCTCTTTTCTTGTTTTTTCTTTTCTTTTAGAAGGTAAACTGATATTATCGATAATCAAATACAAACTACTAAATTGGCAACATTTGTTAAGATATTGAATAATATGTTAACGTAGGGACCTTTTCGACCTCTAAAGCAGTATAGGCCTAAGGAAGGTCCAATGAAGGCCCAAAGAAGGAAAAGAAGACCAAGGCCTAATAGAACGAGAAATGACAACTTTGAGCGCTATGGACGACTGCTCAAGGGTCTGGTTTTTTCTACCAACAACGAAGCTGAGCATTTTCTCATAAAATACTTTCTGACCGCTAGCGGCAAGTTGGCATATTAAAAACTTTATAGCACGAAGTCTAGGGGACAAGCCTACTTAGACACCAAACCCAGGCAACGTGTTGGCCATTAGAGAAAGAAAAAGCCTTTAACTAGACATATAGGCTGACAGATCAATCACTTGGCCATGGGTTTCCTCAAACCCCAGGGCTGAGCAAAGCGCTCGGTACACGTTAGCTCAAGAAAACATGCAAGTGGACCTGAAGGAGTGTCATTTCATTACCATATGTTGACTAAAGAACGGATGGGTAGCTAGCAGTCACATCAACGCACTTGGGTCATTAAATGCAAAGACAGTGAGAGACTCAAGGCTAAAGAATTTTGGGCTCACTGAGGGCCTATATAAGGGATACGAGTACCTCTTATAACTAGTCAGAAAAAAAAAAAAAAAAAAAAAAAAAAAAAGAGAAAGAAAAAAGAGACTAGATTAGCCCAAGTGCTTATTTTAACCTTCATTCAATATATCAATATATCCTAGCACCTCAATGGATGTAGCTCAGTTTTAAGTGGTGAACCACTTAAATCTTGTTGCTTAATTCTTATTTTTTCTGCCGTGAGGTCACGTAGGGCTGACCACATTGATCTTTGTTAACGTCCTAAATTACAGCGTTAACATTTTAGAACTGTCTATGGGAAACGCATACAATTTGGTTGCGTTTACCACCAAGCAACTCTAAGAATGCCCTATCATGAGCAGTCATACACTCCTTTAAGTATCATGATAGACAGAAGAGTAGAAAAAAAAAAGCCCTATCCCGCGACATTGAGAGACCCAAAGGACGAGGGGAACAAGAGAAAATGACCAGGGTGATGACCAAACACTTTACGGGGTCATCTACCTCACTGGTGAAACCGCCAGCAACAGACCCCAGGGATAAATAGAGTCGGGAACATCTAATCCTATGAAAGAATTGGATACTATTATTCTGTTGAAGAAATGTTCAACCATAATAGTATAGATTGGCACTAAGTTTGTCAACCTAAACGCCCACATTGGCCGAGCACCAATACTCTCCAAACCCAAGCATGGTCAGCCATTTTATATGTATTTATCAGTTCCACCATCAACAATTAGCTTTGTGCTTATAAAGAAAGAAAGAGTGCAACGACCAGTGTACTAGGTTAGCTAAGCACTACGAGAGGTCGAACCATGATATTCGGAGGTCATAAATCTGGCACTCACCCTTATAATGTCGGCCTGATTTTCCAACCATACTTCGAGTCACACTTAATTATAGTCCTCACCATCTACCTTGTTCGACAAATGGTGAACAAACCTGAGGTCTTGGGTTGCACTACAACCCGAAGTTTATGGCATTTGCACTAGAACACAAACTGTCATTTATAGCATGCTAAAAAGACTACAACAGGATATAATGGTGTTTTAGAAAGCTTGGGCGTTTGGTGTTTTTACAGTAGCTTAGAGAGAAAGACTTGAAGGCAAGAGAGTGGGAAGCTTCAGGTTAGGTTTGTGACTCGTGCTGCAACACTAGCAAGGGCTTAGAGAGAGCTTTCGAGTTGCTAAGAGAAAGTTCTCATTTGCATTCAGTTGAGCATGGTCTCTTTCCTTCTCCACCTTACTTTGTTCTTGGCTCTCTTTTTATAGAAGGTGAAACTCTTTTTACTCATGTTGGGTGAAAGGGTGTGCCAAAAACTATTTGTTTTCAGCAGGTAATAAAAATGAATTGAAATAAAAGATGCTCTGAAAATTGCTTATTTCCAATGGTAAAACAAGGGATCTAAATCTTCTTGTGTCCTCCAGATAAAAGGAGACGCTTTCTTTCCAACCGATAAACAATGGTTGGAATCTTTTTGTGTCCTATAGGTCTAACAGATTCATTTTACTTGTAAGTAGGATATCATAAATTTGAGTCACATGATAGTGTATTTGATAGCAAATGAAAATTTTATTTGATCCCATATAATGGCTCTACAACCAACTTACACCTATATTATTTTTAGTCCAAATTTAATACCTAAACTACCATCATAGATCTAATTTAATATCTTAATTATCTTTACACACAATTAGAAAATAAAACAATTCTAAAATTCCAAATTCCAAAATCCAATTCAATAGAAATAGAAATAGAAATAGAAATTAATAAAAATTGTTGAGAA